AGAGAGGCGTTCAACCTCACCCCTCAACCTCACTTTTAATAAGTCAAGCGCTACCAACACTGTTCTATAGCTCGGCAGGTTCTGCCCTGTCGTCAAATAAGTAGTTAACTACAAAAAAAAAAAAAAAAAAAAAAAAAATTTAAAGTTAGCTGGTATAGACTGGCTACAAAACCACCACTACGCAATGCAAAAAATTTAAATGAATAATATATGAAAATATCGGTGAACGGCCACCAACGCCGTCCAATTTAAACGGCGACAATTTTAATTTACGTTTTGGAAGTGTAATTTTGTAAACAAAAAATTCCGCGTTTAATTTGTTGATTGAAAGTCGTTTGTTAATAAAGTGTTGTGATATTATCTAAAGTTTTAAAGTGAGTTTATAATTAAATGTAATAAAATAATGTGGTTAAATGTAATGTGGTTGTTTGAACACACAATTTTTTTAATACAGAAGAAAAAAAGAAACATGAGAAGTGCGAGTAAACGACATTTGAGGCGGCAAATAATCGTAACGACTACGTAAGTTTCCTAATAAGTTTTCTGATTTTGTTTATGTATATATTAAATGATTTATTTTTACTCCACAGATAAATACAATATTGAGGGGACGTGTGCCAAAACCCCTCACAGGGATAATAGCAAATAATTTGTGGACATAAATTTAGAGGGGATTCGTGAAAAAGCGTTGGAAGGACTTTCCTTATTTTTATGGTGTCTAACAGGTAAATCCTCATTTGAAAAAATATATGAATTAAATCTAAAATCATGTACACATTTTCATACATATTTATCATTTAAACAGATGCCTGCCGATCCCTTGGCTCTGATCTACGCAACGCCTTAAAAATAATAAAAAAGCAAATGTTCAAAATATTTATAAAAATCATTGTGAAAAATGATGTGATCGTTGTTATGTTTTTTTATATTTATAAATTTTTATTTTATAATGATGTAATTTTTTTTAAATCTCGTTTTATTTCAGCAAGATAGAAATAGTGGATTTTAACCTAACGTGCAAAAAACTAACTTTTCCCTGACTACAATTTGACTTAATAATAGTTAGTTTAAAAAAATTAACTGAAAGCGTATTTAAACAAGTAAATATATAGCTAACTGCAAAAAGTTAACTATAAGTTAACTGCTGAATAACTGACTATAAAGTTAACTGAAAGTAGTGCAAATTCGGAGAATTGACTACTTCGTAGGACATCACAATGTTAAAATAGCCAGTTGATTCCATGTAAAAAAGTCGATTTATCAACCAAAAAAAGTTAGCTTACATTTAGTTTAAAGTTAGTTGAATGTACGACAGGGTGGTTAAGTCCTCTACTTATATGTGTGGAAATTGCGGGCAAGGCTGTTGTTGTACTGTGTTGCTTACGGAATCCTGGATAGCTTCCTCTAATGCTGGGGAGGAGTAAAGCCTCAAGGGTCTTCGCTACTGGCGACAAAAGTGAAATTGGCCTGTAAGATTCACCTTTGCTGGCATCCTTGCCCGGCTTCAGTAGCGGGACCACCCAGCGTACAAAGTGGCGCTTCCCGCCATTTCAATGAAAACTTTGCCGGAAGTTCGTTAAGTGTCGGGTTGTTCAGAAACTAGGTAACTCCCTTTACGAAATTGAGGATTTACATGGTAGGAGAATAGGGGTCTATCACGCAAAAGATCTCCAACATATGGTACCCTCGAAATACCCGGGTTTGTTATGTCACCTTGCTGCCTACGTCGTATTACATGAATCAGCAATATATGTGCAGCACTGCATGGTGATGTGTTGCTGACATGTCACCATTTTATTGGTCGATGCATTTTTGCAAATTGGCGATCCCTAAACGGCCTGCAGATCAGGGTGCGCAAAAATTCGCTCGCGAATGAATTAAAATACATTCTTTTCCTTTTTTGCTCATTTTACGAATGAATTTATGGCGATAAATTCTTTACAAAACGAGCATTCGCCAAAAAATTTTTGCACAGGCATTACAAACGAGTGAGAGCACATAACAAAGATCGTTGTTGTTGTTGTAGCAGCCCTATTGCTTTTACACAATGGGCTTCGGTGGTTGAAATTGTTTCCCAAATTCTCGCGAATGCTCAAAACAGCAACAAAACATATTCATTCGTTGTGTGTGTTTACATTTTTTATGCTTTTTTGTTTGTGTTCTTTTTAACAGAGCTCGCGAACATTTGTTTTTTGAGTTTCTCAAAAGAATGTTCTTCAGCAACAAATGCCCGCGAACGAACCACGCTTGCAGCGAAATTTTATCGTTCGTGAATTTTTCGAACAATGCGAACATTCGCGAGTGAATGTAAATGCTTGTGCATTCATTGTAACTTTATCATTCGCGATAAATTGAAAACATGAGCATTCGTGAGAAGAAACGTATTTGAATCATTCTTCGCACCCCGCTGCAGATGACTTTCGCGTCATTCACGAGAGTAGCAGCCGGTGATTTAAGATCGAAAACTAAACAAAAGAGGAGAAAGAAATGAATTTAACCGGTGTGAATATAAAAAAACTAAATCTAATAAAGAGTGAGGAATGTACATCCAATTGGATGCACTTTTTTCTTGAATTAGTATTGAAATTGTTCAATACATCTTTTCTTAACTGATTGATTAATTTGTGCAAACCCAATTTTGCTCGGCATCAGTTGACCCACCAACATTCCATAAAAGAACTAGTACAATCACGATCAAATAACCCAGTTTATACCTGACCATTTTACAAATTAGTTTACTTACCAACATTTCATCAAAGAAATTGTGCAACACCATCCAATAAACCAGTTGTATATCAGTTATCCAATAGTCCAGTTCGTACATAGCATTCCGTAGACAAGTTCATACATCATCAGAAGCTTGAAACATCAGTAGCCTGAAATTCACCTCACATCGAAATTCTCATCGACCTAACCTAACAGCGATCAAAATTACTATAGGATGGATATTAAAAAGATGTCCTAAATATTATTGGCAGCAGTGTCCCCAAACATTTATTTACTATTAATTAATTAATCATAATTTATTCATACGTTATTATACATTTATACATACATTATTATACATTTATATATACATTGTTATACATTTATACATACATTAGTTCCGTTCCAGAACCTAAAAAATCTACTCATTTTACATGTTTTGCAACTTTTTACTCGAAAACCGTTCCTCAACCCACAAAACTGGTAAAACATTGTAAACATTTTACTAGAGAAATTTGGCCGAGTAAAAATGGTAAACAGGAATGCCTACTTCTGATAGGCTGTTATTTTGATTTTGAAGTATTGTCATCTAATTTTGGCATATTTACTAGATTTTCGTTCCTTTTCAAATTATTTTGTACTCTGAGAGCAATTTTGAAATGTTTCCTTTTTACTAGCTTTACCATTAAAAAAGTAGTGGAACAGACCAACAACAAGCAACAACAACAACCAAATAGACCCAGCAACAACCAAATACAACCCAGCAACAACATCAACCAAATACAATACAACAACATGTTTTAATGGTTTTCTCGTGAAGTGATATGTTATTTTTGTATGTGCTCAAGTGCACCTCCTCCCGCTAGTTTTAGCCAGAACCAACTTAGCAAAATACCATCGACACCTTCGTAATGAATAGAGGTCATACTTGTTAATCACATTACACATCTTAATGCTTGTGTTGATGCAGGTATAGTGGCGATGATAAGACTCCACTTTGGACAATAAGGAATCCATTATGTCACCCATCAGAATCGTGTGATCAACAGTGTTAAATGTTTTGGCCAGGTCTAAAGCAGGGACCACGGTCCCCGCTGGCTTTCGATTCTGATTGGACCTATTGGCAATGTATGTTGTTATGTCATTGAGAGCCGTCGATGTGCTATGGGTTTACGGAATCCCTTTCTATGGTTTGCTAACAGGGGGTGCTCAGTCATAGTTGGTACCAATGCCGCTTCCAAAACCATTGCTTTTGGTGTCAGAACCCATATGTGATGATTCTCCTGAATCAGCCTGTTTGTCTGGATTAGAAATGGAATAACTCGTGCAGCTTTCCAAATTTTTGGTTCGATAGATCAAACGAGAGGTTTAATCTACAAAACACCACGTTATGATCACTAAGATCAACTTATACAGACTCAATTTCCATACCTACATTAACATTGGAAAATAACTAAATTGTGACAACTGTGGCGTTTGAAACAATTTCAAAAAATCTCTAGATTAAGTGTCATTTAAATCAATATTTGAATTCCCCAATACAATCGTAGACCTATATTACACTTTTGGGATCTATAATAATTTTATGTGAGCGATATTAACAAAACTAGGACTCTTACGATAAATAATTATATATTTAAGACAATTATTAACGTATGGCCATAGCCATAACTACGGCAACTATGCATCACGCTAAAATGCGGAATACCATATAAGTTAGTACAATCATAATTTGTGGATTGACGAAATGCTTTCCATATTCACTATGACAATACTGAAATAATCGTTATTATAATTACTTAAAAAACTTTTATACGAATCCATGGCATAATAATAGAAGGTAACAGCAAGTTGTTGTACAACAAATGATACAACAACCACATGGAAATTTGTATTTGTAAATAAAGAAATAAACAAATTTGGTCTGTTCCAGTACTTTTTTAATAGCAAATCTAGTAAAAGGGAAACATTTCAAAATTGCTCTCAGAGTTTAAAATAATTTGAAAATCTTACTTGATGTTGTCTGTTTACTTTTCTCAGTATTATTGCAAAAGAGAAAAAAAGCGACTTACTCTCTGAAATAGAACCTACTGAATAAATGTTACTGGAAAAGTAACCAGACACTGATAATAAAAAACAATTTCAAAATTTACATATCAGCTGCAGTTTGCTGTTACCTTTTATAATTGCACCATGATTTTACGTATAGTTAGAAGATTTTTTGAACTCGATATTCTCGCATTACATACCTGGTGTTACTATATAAATTAAAACAAGTGTGTCTTTATTTTTAGCTCAACGTCTCTTCACTACAACAAAATGTGTGAAATATGTGACAACTCTGCCTGTTCCAAGTAATATAGATGCTGCAGAAACCACAAGATTTTCTCCTCGTAGAAACCGAGATATTTCAGCTACAGCGATTTTAGCTCATAAACAGTCCACAGCATCATATACTAAACATGAGGGATCACAGCTTTTACCTGATAAAAACATTGGGCAAGATATCCACATACAATCGTACGATTGTTTTGGAACAATCAACCTTAATTCCGCCATGCAAAGTAATGTTCCCATACCTTGCCGAGGTACGGATGCCGTTTCACATTTAAATATGCCTCGTGGCCAACTAGCTCAGCAAAGCAAATTCATATCACATACATTACATAACTCCCATTACCTGACGCTGCGTAAAGATTCTCGTTCAGGATGGTCGTCGTACGTAACAAATTCTACGTTGGAAAGTAAAGGTAATTTATTATCATTTGCGAAATGGTTTATGTCCATTTTAGCTTCTGATACAAATATTCGGTTTCTAGAAAAGTTTACAAAATATATTACGTGTTATATTTTATTGTGTTTAACACTAGATTGCCGAGGGCAGTCATTTTGACCGTTTTTCAATTTCAAGTACAAAAACAATTGAGTATATTATGACACAGCTTTTTAAAATTTGGTGACTTTTTGTGCCACATAGAACTACGTTTATTAATGATAGTAGCTGCTTCCTCCCCTCTTTCATTCTCCGTATTCACATGTGCTATACCTATATTGCCTAAAACCGGTCATTTTGACCTCTTGTGATTTATTAAATAATCAAACTACTTTTATTATTGTATAAAGTAAATTTCTTATATGACCAGATCAGTACAACAACATCGAAACCCGTTTGCTACTCTAGAAACACAAACGAACACTCAAATCGGGAAAAATAAATTTTATATTTCCAGTAGATTTCACTCATAGAGTAAACACTTACTCTTTTTCGAACATTTTGTCCGCACTCTTATTTTTCAAAAAGGGAAACTCGAGAGCCCTCCCACCGAAAACAAATAATAAGAACGTTTTGTATGATTGTAAATAATGTAAAAAATATAAAAAATAGGTTTAAAAATTTTTCTGTACACAATAAAAGTTATTTCAGAATGAAGTCATTTTGACCGATTTTAGGCAATATAGGTATATACAAAATTCCAGTCTTTCTAGTGTTAAGGGCACAGACCCACAAACAAAAATTAATACCACATAACAATATTTTTGAAACAAATGGACTTAAACCACATTCAAAATAAAAGTCTCATATATAAACATAACTTCTATTTATAGATGGACTGCTGGTAATGTGGGCTACCATTTTCTTTTTTATATAATCGGCGTAAAAACGGTAAAAATTAAAGACAAATTGTTTCAATAACAATCTAATATATTATGTTATTGAAACAATTTGTCTTTAATTTTTCCGTTGTTATTTGGGATACCATTTGTATTTTGTTATAGCAAAACTAGTCTTCTTACTTCCGCAATAATTTGTATTTAAACAACAAACTGCAATTACGCCTGTCTATTTTGCAATAACAAACTTAAAAGGTTTAATCTCTGCGATTGTAATTACAGCTATTGTAATTACAGAACCAGATTGTATTTTTTTTTTTTTTTTTTTTGAGAAAATCAAAGTTTTCGACTCTTTTGCATAAAAAAGTGGAAGTAAACATTTCAATTATTTGGTGTTTATTTTCACTAATTAGGAAAACATATATCTAGGCGGATATATTTGAGATACCCCATTAGTCGCATAGTCCATATGAACAGAAGTTACTCTAATTGAATCCCAATTATAGAACGACATATATGTCATTAAACTCACAAGGAATTTAATATTCACTTTAAAATATATTTTTTAACGACAAATAAGTCGAATCGAAAGTAACGACATTCATATTTCGTCATGTCAACGCCAGCCGTAATAAGAGTGAATATAAAATGTTTATGTGCCCGTTGGCAAAACTTTAATATATTCAACGGACATACATTGTTACTCCGCATTCATTGGGGAGTTTGAAAATGTTTTTTAACCAGATTGCATGTAATTTGGTATTGGGTAGCAAACCTCTCCACCAAAAATTATCGATATTGGTCTACATTTTAGGATAGTCCTAATAAAACGATATTTTATATAACTATTATTTAGTTTCCATTGGGTGTCAAATCTTCCCACCATTTATGAAAGTCCCGAAAGATTATTTGTATTTGTTGGGGGTATAAAACGACATTTTTACTTGTTCTATTTAATAATAATGGATTAGTTGCACATATAAATATTATACCACTGAAAAGGCTTAAAAGCAGGCGACTTTTATATGGAGCTATATTAAAACGTTTTATAGTCTTCTATTTATATCGATAATAATTTCTAATTACAATTTTACAGACCCCTCAAATCGGAATTACTGTACCAAAAATTATAATAATTCTGAACTGCTTACAAAGAAAGAGCAACTAAAAAAAGCTTTTAAAGATTATGGATCAACAATAGTAATATTTCACGTCACCATATCACTTGCTTCATTAGGCGGATTCTATGCACTGATATCTAGGTAATTGTATATATTAACTGATTAGCTTTGCCAAATTAGCAAACATTAGTCATTTATGTTTTGAACCATGTACAACCCTGTTTACATTTTCTTACAGCGGAATAGACGTAACTGCGATAATAGATAACTTTGGATATGCACCTGAGGCACTTAAAAATAACGTTGCAAAGGGAGCTAGTAACTTTGTTGTTGCATATGCCATTCATAAACTGTTTGCCCCTGTGAGAATTAGTATAACATTGGGAGCTGCTCCATTAATTGTACGTTACTTGAGATCGAAGGGATTTTTAAAGCCTAAAGTATCCAACAAAACCAAGTAACTTGTGGAGACTTTACAAATAACATGCACCGGGTTGGTATGTAAACTCAACAGACACACTTTTGCAAACAACAACAATGACTTTGTCGAAGATTTTAATTTTTTTCAATAAATGTTATCTTCAGAAATATAATCGATGAACTGTTTTCTTTATATCTTAAGTTATATATTTGTAAATAAAGTGTTTTATTGTATATATTGACTTAACAATGTCAATTTGTGGCAATTTTATTTATGTAATTTGGGTTTGCTGGGTATTAAGTTTATAATAAGTCTGTCTGCGTTCACGATATTTCGTAACATTTGTCACAAAATGTTACTAAATTTTATCTTTTTACAACGCTTCCTAAATTAGATCGAGACGAACAAAAATATTCAACTTCCCCACTATGGCAAAATGTTTTGTACGGCCGTATTACGCAAGTACGTCGAATGTATATCTCTTAGCGAACTAAACAAAAACGCGAAACAATATTTAAAATATTATAAAATGAGTTCAAATATTTCACATTCTTATTGAAAACTTTGTATTTTGTTTCTATTAAAAAAAAAAAACTATGCTATTTTGTTTAAAATGTTTCCTAAAAGACACAAAATGTTTATAAAATGTGGTGAAAAGGCAATTATTTATTAAAATAAAATCACTGCTGTGTTAAAAATGTGTTGTGCGCGTTCAAAAAGAGCAAAATAAATCTACGTTTTTTCTAAGATATTTTGGCCACAACTACGACTTCTGACAGAAAATATAGATAAAGGGTTGCATATTTCCTGAAAGTCACCTTCTGGATGACCCGTTATTTGGGCCATGGTTCTGTCATAGCTGTTTTTTTTTTCAACCAAGGCCCAAGGTTAATTCATAAGGTTAACAGGGAGACGAATTAGAAGTCTTCATTGACTGACAAATGTATTGTTTGAAACAAGGTGTATGCATCAGCTACAAAAACGAACATTTTACAAAAACAACATTGTTGTTATAGAAATTAAATTGTCATGCTGACAATTAGTTAATGTTGTGAAGTAACATAAACAAATAAATAAATTTGAAAAAGTTGTACAATTAAAGAAAAATTATATCTAAAATAGAAAATAAATGCCCTTAAAATTTCCGTTCTGGTCGTAAACGCCATTATTTTTATATTGCCGCCGATTTCCTGATTACGACCATACATACATATTTTCAAGAAAGTCCGTACTACCCGAAAATCGACTTCCAAAGCTGCGCTTCCAAATATAAAATTGGGGTGATTGTCCGGATCTTGGGGACAACTTCACTTGGAACCTACCCATCTAAATTTAAAATTGAGGTGGTTGGCCGGATCTCGGCAATCAACTTCGCCATTGACAGATTCTAATAACATTCGCTGAATTTTAAGATTTTTGCCTAAGCAACAAGTCTCTTTTTTGTTGTTAGCCTTGAGCTAAATTCTTGTCAAAATAAAATTTCCACAAATTCCCAAATTCATGCTATAGCCCATGAACAAAATATATATCCTGTTGTAAGTGTTTGGAATGATCCGCGACAGGGCTTTAAATTTAGTTCTTTGGGAAGCTAAGAAATGGTCCATTCCCATTAATAAAATCTTTGTTCCAAAAACTATTCATCTCGCATTTGTTTATAAAGTTTTAAAATTAAAAAAAAAAAAAATACTACAAAAATGTGTTTGACAATTAGATTCACAAACAAAGAACAAAAAACTTTGAAACCATATATTTGTCACTTAAAGAACGTTTACATTTAACCGGATTTCGTTAACCCAGTGGGTTTCAATTGTCAATTCCTTTGCATATATGTCAAATAAATCCTCATAAAGTAGGTTAACCCGGTAAAAAGTTCTAATGTATATGCCGTTTTACACCTTATTTAAGGGTCGTACCTAAATTCATGCGTATGCGCACGATTTTATTCGCCTCAAAAGTTAAATACATGTATTTCAATGAATGTTACCCAAATACGCATTGCGTATAAAATTATAAAGTTGAAAATTTTCAACATTGACAATGCGTATTTTGAATTTTTTGTTCTTTGAAAATATAATTCCAGCCATTAAAAAATTTATTTTTCTATACATGTAAACATTTTTTAGTTTATTATGAAAATGTTTTCATCCACTTTCGCCGTTTTCAATTCACACACAATCAAATAAGGTCCTTGCGTATTTGGGTAATACGGACGTTCAACAAAACCTATAAAGGTGAGTATATTTGTACGGAGCGCAATAAATTAGGTACGACCCTAATACACCTTGGTTTGAACAATAAATAAACAAAAAATATTTTTGTTCGAAGCAAAATAAATGTGCACATTACTATCATTACGTTTTCTTGACATATATTTTGAGTTTTTATCCTGTTCTGGTTGGTATTTCGCGATTAAAATGTTGACAGCAAGAGAAGACTAAAGCATGAATTCGCTTGCCTGTTAACCTTATGAATTAACCTTGCCATGGCCTATATAAGGTCGGCCAGTAAGTAGATAAAACTTAAGTTTAACGTCAATTGTTTTTGTCGAGGCGAAAACTAATTGCTTCGACTTTAGGGTCGTACCTAATTTATTGCGCTCCGTACAGAAATACTCACCTTCTCACCTTTATGGGGTTTGTAAGACGTCCGTATTACCCAAATATGCAAGGACTTTATTTGCATCTGTGCCAATTGAAAACGGTACGTTTCAGTATTACATCTACTCTCCTAAAATGCCGTATCTGCCATGAGAGGCATATTACCACACCATGCTCCACCAAGATACACAAAAAAAAACCTTTTTAAAAAGGTCAGTGCCACCAAGCTTAAAGGTACGTCTAGATTTACGAAATCTAATTCCATTGCTTATACGTCAAATATAATCCACTGGATTTGTGAACAGGGTTAACATAGTTTACGAGCGCCTAGAAACAGCATATACCCTGGCCATGACATTAAATTAGAGATTTAATGTGAGCGTGAGCAAATCGAGATGTACAGCAGTCAGAATGAAGTCCGAGGAAAATACGAAATCGAAGGTTTTGGTGCAGGCACACTCTAATGTAGAGATGAAGAAGGAAACCTGGTGACAGATACAGACGGCGTGCTGAGGATATCGATGGATCATTTGAAAAACTTCTGGGGGGTTACTCTGTATTGCGTTGCGAAAGCAAGTGCGATGCGAAAGCTAAATGCGTTAAGAGTTCAATTTGGTACTCTGTATCGCTCACGCAAACGCATTCGCAAACTAAATCGAAAATTGGGCAACACTGTCACCACAAAGTAAACAATAACGAAGAATGGCAAAAGGAAACGTCAAAAAATTGGAAATAAAAACATATTTTTGTGTGGTACGAGTGTTTAAAAAAAAAACAAAATGATGAACGAATTAAAAAAATAATTTTAAGACAAATATACTCTCCCTAAGTGACCACGGGTATGAAAATAGAAGTACGAATTATGTGACAGACGTTTTCAAATATTTAATTTTTATAGATTTATATACAAAATTTTCGTTTCAATAAAGATGCGTATTTATTAAACGCTCGTCATTCCAAATGCATTCACTACAATTCCAGCTCCAATAAAAGTGGCCGCTGCTTTAAAATTGCTTGGACAAGGTGGTTATCAATACCAACCTGTAAATATGCATAGTTTCATATTTTATATAAAAATATAATGTATTACTTTTTTCCAACCAGCGACATACCTTACAGGATGTCCATTTGAATTGAGGTCATCAGCCGGTTTTGTCCACAAATTATTTGCGCGTTGTTTAGCATTTGAACTCTGCAACTGTCCCTTTGCCAAATCGCTGTTATGCTCCATAAAATCAACTAACGCGTCTCAGTCTGCAAATATTTTTTGTATTATCCCTAAAATAATTAATTTATATATAAATAAAATCTTTAATTTTGCTTACTTACAGGTTTCGCTTCCTTTGCGTTTGTTATTTTGTTAACGCAAGATATTTGCGTTTAACGAACGAATTTGACATACGTTTTCGTATTACAGAGTTCGGTGATGCCACATTTGCGTAAAGTAGATGCGAAAGGAGATACGAAAACGAATTAGAGAGTACCAATTATGCGATGCGATACAATTTTTCTTACGCATCGCAATACAGAGTAACCCCCCTGGTAGCAAATAGTAGCGGTAAAGAGGATACCCCAGAACCAATAATAGATGACGGTATAGAGTGTACACCACCTAGCCAAGATGAGGTCAGAATAGGAATCAGACGCTGATAAGCAACATGCACCAGGTTATTAGTACAATTTGGCTAGAAGAATGCATGCCCAATGATTGGAACCTCAGCATCCTGTGTACCGTGCACAAAAAAGGAGACAAGACGACATGTGCCAACTATAGAGGAATAAGTCTCCTTCCCATCGCATATAAAATGCTATCACTCTGCGCCAAATCCTGGAAAATAATTAAATTAAATAAAATCAATTCGGCTATGCAGGATAACTTTAAGTGGCACAAGGTCAGCAGTTAAAATTAGAAAGGACCTTTCGGAACCCTTTAATACCGAACGAGGATTCAGACAAGGTGACAGTTTGTCGTGTGACCTTTTAAACATCCTGAGGGAAAAGGTCATACGAGAGGCAAAGGTGAACAGAAATGAACTCTGTATACCAAACAACACCAGTTACTCGCCTACGCCGATGACATCGACATAATGGGTCGAACATTGAGAGCGGTAACAGCCACTTTTGAACAAATTGAGAAGGAGTCTGGCAAAGTGTGTCTGATAGTAAACGGCGAGAAGACCAAGCTGATGGTATCAATGCGCAAGACGTCCAGTAGACTCGGATCAACTGTGGAACTTGAGAACTACCGCTTGGAGGTAGTCAAAGATAATGACATCAGTTTTGAAATTCGGACAAGGATAGTGTTGGCCAACAGATGCTACTATGGTCTGAGTAAGTAAATCATAAGCAAGGCCACCCCACGCCAGACCAAATTCACACTCTACAAGTCGCTGATACTACCCTGGCTATTTCGACAGGCGAATATGTGTCGTATTGTGCGGAG